TGCTACTATCTGCACCTATGATGCCTACACAAATGAAACCTTATAAACAAGAGTAACAACTTTTGGACAATGTCACCGAAGCTACCTACATGAATTTGCTGAAACTCCGGGAGGCAGTGGAAGACAAGAGGGTCTGGCATGCTCTGGTCCATGGGGTCATGAAGAATCTGAAACGATTTAATGACTAAACAACAACAAACAACTTTTGTGTCTATAAAGATATGGAAAGTAGAGGTATGGGGAAAAACCTGGTAGATAAGCACTGAGGTCTCCAGATCTGTGATCATGGGCACAGGAGAAAAATGGCTCTTGACACATGTACAGACATGTGGGGCCGGCCAAGACCCAGCTCCTACAACCAGCCCAGTTGCTAGTAGGCTGCCTACCTTTAGGCCACCAGGAAGACCACCCTCGCCCATAATTTGGGGGGCTGGAAGGTGTTAGTGGGGCAGAAGGGGGCACCATGGAAGAGGTCACGGGTGCCACTGCCCATGAAGGCTGTTAAAGGTGGGGTTGAGCTCAGAAGGGCAGACCTGCAGATTGGGAGGCTTGTGAGGCAGAGGCCATGGAGGATAAGGGAGACCCCGGTTTGGAGGACTGGGAGAGAGGTGACCAGACCCATGGAGTGCCTAGTGGGTCGATCTCTGTGATGGAACCACACAGCCTGGGCCCAGCAAGGAACAGTTTCTCTAGCCAATCCATTGATCTGACAGCAACCCTGACACACTTCTAGGGCTGCTCCCCCTGCTGGTCACATCCAGCTCATTCTGAAAGGGATGCTGCCACCATCTATGCCCACAGTGAAGGGTGCACTACACCTTGCTAAACTAGAGTGAAGACAACAACCTCCCATCACAAAGCCAACAGTTTATCTCAATGCAGCACCCTTGTTGCAGCACCCCCTGCCTTGCCATCTGCATTAAGTCCTGGAGTTGGTGGAGGAGACTCTTCCCACTTGCCCCAGATACCTCCTGAGATCTAGTTGGATGGCAACCTTGTTAATGTCAGTTAAAGGTAAATAAATAGTTGTGTTTCAGCAAACCCTTGTGTCATGATGGAAAAGGCAGCTGGTGTGGTTCACAAGACAGAAGAAAGCACATGGGTTAGCTTGTCCAACAAGCAGTCACCCTTCTTTTCATCAGACCCCCTCCTCTTAGGGGGTACCCTCCATCCCCTCAATTGTCCTATTATGAGTAGAGTGAGGAGAAGAGATTCCTCTGGTTATTCCCTCATGCCACCTGCTCTCCCATTTGGGAAAGCTAGTGGCACAGGTCCCCTTTTTCAGTCTGATATTGAATGAGAGATGAGTACAGGAATGGTAGCTGCCCTGTGTTGTCCCCAACAAGAAGTGCAAGCAAAGCTTCCTGAAACCAAGCACCAGATTCAAGAATGCTCCTACAGGCTGTGCCAAGGTATGGCACATTCATTTTCTTTTCTCCCAAAATTCTCCCAAGTACTCCCTAGGCAAAATTCTGGGAGCACTTGTACAAAAGAGACACTGCTCCAGTCCTTCCTGGCCAAACTCTTTTGCCTTACAAAAGCAGCCTAGCTGGGTGGATAGCTCAGTGTTTTAGGTATCTCATTGTGAAGCCAGAGGCTAGGAGCTTCGTTTTCCACTGTGCCTCCTGTGAGTAGAACCAACCTGTGTGGCACTGGGCAAGTTGTACAGTCCCAGGGCACCCCCAGAAGTAGGGAACGGTAAACAACTTCTGAGTTCTCTACATGGAAAACTCTGAAAAGGGTCACAAGTCAGAACTGGCATGACAGGACATTATTGTTGTTCAATAATGCCTCAAAAAGAGCCTCGTGGTGCAGTGGTTAAAACGCTGTACTGCAGCTAAAACGGTGCCCACAACCTGGGGTTCAAATCCCAGGTAGTCGGCTCAAGGTTGACTCAGCCTTCCATCCTTCCGAGGTCGGTAAAATGAGTACCCAGCTTGCTGGGGGGGCAATGTGTAGCCTGTATAATTAAAAATTGTAAACCACCCAGAGAGTGCTTGTAGCGCTATGGGGCGGTATATAAGTCCAATAAATAAATAATAAATAAATAAATTCCTCCGATGTCAGGGGGAAAGCCCTTGGAGACCTACGAACGAGAAAAGGCAGGGGAAAAGGGTGGGAAATTTGAATTTCCCGCCCTTTTCCCCTGCCTTTTTTCATTCATAGGTCGAGGCTCCATTTGCAAGTTGATGCCAATTTTTGCGAATGGAGCAGTTTGTAAATCGAAATGTTTGCAACTAGGGATGTTCTTAAGTCAAGGTACCACTGTATTGCAGTTTTTTGTAGCTCTGATGGTGGTAGTTCTGAGATCTGCAAGTGCTTATAGTGCTGTGTGAAATTTCTGGATATTGTTCCCAAAGCCCCAATGACTATGGGGACAACTGAAGTGTGTTTCATCCAAATGTGAGATGTTTTGATTGGCAGATCTCTGTATTTTGTTCATTTTTCCTATTATTTATTTTCACTGGAATTACAGTGTCAGTGATCCAGACATTTCTTCATTCTATAATAATAATAATAATAACAACAACAACAACAACAACAACAACTAGCCTAATGGGCAGCAAGACTACAGGCCCTACAAAGGCCTAGGACACGGATTTTTAACTTTTTTTTTCACACAAAATAGGCCTAAGACTATGAAATATTGGGTGTGCATGGATATGAACCTGTCAACAGAATTTGCCAGAATTTTGCATGTGGAATTCTTCAAGAATTCTGAGAGATAAAGTCCAAAAAACTGAATGATACACCCTTAGCGTGTACAGTGTTTTGCACAAAGAAGGCAGTTTCTTGCTGCAGTGTTGCCTAGGAGCTTGAGTTGCTGCTGCAACTAACAGAGCCTCTCGTGAGGATCTAACCCCCACCCTGGAACAATTTCTCCATCTTTTAATTATATGGAAATTGTGCACCACTCTTCAAAGGAAAAATGGTGAGCAGAGTCTGACAAGAATATTCTCTGTTCACATGTGATTAAAATAGAATCACGTAATGATAGAAATGGAAGTTTAAATCGTCCTTCCATTGTGGGTGCCCAAACAATCAAAAGGCTTAGTACAAACAGTTTTAATTTTTTTCCATATGCACTTTGGAGGAGAACCTAAGCAATGCATTATATGATAGCAAATTTGTCTGAGAGAACAATGTTTCAAAAGACAAGATTTTATCCAACCAGCATTCAAACCAACAGGCCAAACCTGTCTGGCTGTAGGCCATTTCACAAGGAAGCTCTCCTCTTTTATCTTTTTGAAGGGTTCTGAGGAAGACAGTACTGTATTGTTAAAATGGTACTTTGCACAAGTTCATCCATTTTCCTTAGCAGTGGTATGGTAGAACCCTGGATGTCATGGTTTGCAGGGCAGTATCAACTGCACATGTAATGAAAAGCATTTCATGGAGGCTTGCTCTTGAATGGGCAGTTAAGACCCATTAGCTTTACAAAATACCTTTTTCTAGTAAATATCAAAATTACTAGAACTGGTTTGTTGATTTTAATCAACATAGTGACCTGACTCTATGGATCCTCATCTTGGGAGCTGCTATGAGAACTCTCATAGCGAGTGCCTGCACTTGAAAAATCATCATTTCCTTTGCCTGTAACATCTTGTCTGATGAAGAGATCTCAGTATCTTGAAAGCATGCACATACATGTATGTGCCTTTCTGGTTAATCTAAAAAGGGTAACATTACTAAAGCATTGTTTTTCACATTCTGTGGATGTAGTCAACAAATTAGCATGGGTCAACATGCTTTGAACAGCATAACAGGTCTGGCGGCATCTTTGCTGGTCCCAGACACTCCATGTTCTTCATCTGGATTTAGGCCTTAAAGTTCTGGTAAGTTATAAGCAAGACTAATTCCTGATCATGGGACATAGCTATTAAGGTATGTGAGTGAACATGAGCTAATTTAATTCCAATCTTAACCTAGCAGGGCTTTTAAAAACTGAACGTGGATGCATTTAGAATCAGAGCTGGAGCAACCTCGAGGGATATTAAGCCTAAATCTCATCCAGACAAGAAAACCACTGCTGAAGCATTCTTGACAGAAAATGACTGTCCAATACTGACCTTCAATAATGGAGGTTCCACTAATTTCTCCATCCTGTTCCATTCCCAAACAACTTATCAAGAAGTTCTTTCTGGTGCTAGTGGATTGGTGTGCTCACTACACCTGTTTCTACCTGTCAGGGCTGCACACTCCCCGATTTAATTTCTTTAAAGCCAGTGAAGCTGGACTCCCCTTAAATGGGGCCCCGATGTGTTCAGGCTACAGCTGATGACTATTCTGGGGGTGGTGAGTCCCACGGGACCTCACTTTCCTCAGTACTCTTGTGGTGGAGGAGGAAGAAACGTGGCGCTGCACAACGGTAGAAGCACATTCAGCGAGTCAAGGCATTCTTCCTTTTCTCCTGCAAAAATGCGACTCCAAGTAACTGAGGGAAGCTCACCAGACGCACGTGACACATATGCCATCAGCCTAGAAATCATTTTTGTGGTGATGCGTGCATATGCCGACATCGAAAGGAACCATGACGACACTACGTTATGCCATGATCGTGAAGCCCCCATGCATGTTTACTCGGAAGTAAAACCCGCTGTCTTTAACTGGGCTGACAGCTAGCACTCCCGCCACATCTATGCATACCTACTCAAATGCTCAAACGAGGCGAGTTAAATCGGAATGTGTGTATACGATAGCAGCCTCAGTGTCCTTCCAACGCAAACTACCTTCCCCATGCAAACTAGAATGCCTCGAGACCAGGATCGGAAGGAACGAGCCTCGGCAAAAACTAAGCGCGCCAAAGAAAATGGCAGTTTAACACCGACGCGTGCAACCCCCGGAAAGCAAACACTCTCTGCACGCCCAGCGTGGCTGGTTGGGGGGGAGGAGCTCCAGCCACCCACCTTACGGCCAGCTTCCTCCAATCGCCTCTCTCCTTCCGCCTTCTGGGCGGGGCTAAGCCGTGGTCTGAACGTGGGGGCGAGCCAGAGGTTTGTTTGAAAACAACCACGAGTGAGGAAGCGAGATGAAGAGTGATGGGGCTGGTCGTGTTGTGTGGCTGAGGCGGAAGGCGTAGAGACAGCGGTTGGTTGTGCGCCCTGAGCTGCAACTTCTGAGTAAAAAAGCCAGTGGAGGAGAAGGGTGAATTTCGAAATGATTCCTTTTTTTCCTCCCTTAAAACGGAGGTGGTGCTGGATTGGGGTAGCTTGCCTTCGGTGCTTTTCATGCCGCTGCTGTTGTTGCGCCTCAAGTAATCGGAAGATGCAGACCCCACAGCTCTCCTGCTTCGAGGGGACCTTGGGGCTCAAAATCAGAGGGGTCCTGCCTCTGAGCTAACGGGATCCCTTCGGGAAGATTGATTGGCAGTCGCCTTTTGACTCCATTTTGGTTCTTAAACTCCCCCGCCCCCCAAAGTGGTGGTGTGCATTTAGCTTATCACGGTCGGAGGACTTTCTAGAAAAGGGAAAGGCGTGCAAGTGTTCACTGGCATGCTTGGTGTTTTAGTGCATTCAGTTGTGTGCCAAGCAGTCCGATCTTATTTCTGGAGATGTCGGTTTATTCAGAAATAAGCTCCAATGTATTCAGTGTGAGCATAGGGTGCGTATGTGCGATGCCTGTGTGTGTGGGGGGTTGCAGCTGGAGACAACCTGTAGCACGGTACCGTACTTGTATACCGTACTTTTCCTCTGAAGGAAACTTCGCTGTGGACGCTAACTTCTGAGAAAACCAGCACAGGGATACATACTTTCCCTCGGAAGTGAGTCCTACCGGCCTAAAATAAGTACACTGTAGGATTGCAACCTAAGTATGGAATTGTTTATTGGGAATAATTCTCTTTGAACTATCTTTTGAGTAAACGCTATTGCTGCCAGATGATTTACGGTGCAATTGTGTTCCTGTTTACTACTCAGAAGTAAAACTCACTCAATTCTGTAGGATTTACTGTGCTTTGGAGAGAATGTATAAATGTGTGCCTCCTTACTGCAGTTTTACATAATTAATTTTATTAGGTAAATTTTATGTGGTGATTAGTGAACAATTTCACTTAAATGTTAGTGATCTCCCTTGCTGTTGTTCCACCTCTCATTTTCTCTCTCTCTCTGACTTTTGAGAGTTAGGGGTTTTTAAGATGTGAGACATCTATTTGCCCTGGCTAGCTTTAATACTCATTTTTGGCCTTCAAAGCTTATAAAGTTCATAACAGAATAACTTTATGAAGAACATCTTGTGCTTCCTCTGTTGGTCTACCAGTTGTGGTTCAGGGGAGCCTTAAACAGGGAAGTCTCTCCACATTGCCTATGACATAAGTGGGATTAAATCCCAGGATGTGGTTTGACAGCGCATGATAGAACAACTGCACTAAAGCTCAGTAGGTCATGATCTGGGTCGTAGCTGGAAAGGAGATTGTAGGAACCACATGGGTGCTGCTTCTGTGTTGGGAGTAGGGCACAAATTATGTTGGACCTTTGTGCAGCTGGCACTGCTGTATCTAAAAATAGGAAGTTGGGTGGTACAGGTGTGTTGGACAATAAAATATTTGTTCTAAAGACTCTTTATAGAGTTCGTTTGTTGATTGGGAAAGAGTGTTTCCCAAGGTCTGATGGGCTTGCAACTTTCAAGATCTGATGCTTTCCTCTGTAGCATGTGGAGTGCTGATTGGTATGTGTGTGTTGGCTGTTGCTAACTGTCTAGCTGGAGAGCCTGAGGGAGAGAATGAAGGAGAGGGACAGTGGTTGTACTTCTCATACAGTATAGACTCGTTGCACAGACTAATCAGTAAGTGACTTACAGATCACGAGTCATGGCTGGTATGCATTTATAGGAACACCACTAGAACAGGGAGATGACCTCATTTCAAACCAGTAAGGTGTTAACATGTTAAGAACATACTTACACCAGTTGCTACATGGACATGTCAAGTCACATGTGCATGTCACAGCACACCAGTTATTTCTGACTTATTGGTAAAAAGTAATGACAAGAAGATGAACATGTTCTTTTATACTCTCTGTGAATGTAGGTTTACTAAAGACCTCTGGTTTCCATTGTAGAACTATAAATCTAAAAATCTGATCTATAGAGAAACAAAGGCATTTGGAGATTACTTGATAACATTTATTTTTGTGCACAGAATGGGTGTATATTAGCTATCATTTTTATCCCTGAAACTGTCTCGAGAAGGGATGTCCTGGGAGAATTGTGTATCAGCTTGGTTTGTGGGAAAATTCCAAAGATAACAATATTTGATAACAAAATTATTTGCACTGAGGCTTGAAATTAGGGATAGGTGTCTAGTGTTCAGTGTTTTGCATAGTATGTAATTAAGAGGGAGGTTCAAAATACTTCGGGCAAACAGAGGAAGCTAACTAGAAGGTCAGGAAGAGGTTTTCTGGAGAGGGTGGAGTTGGGTTTAGTCATAAGCAGTGTTGGCACTTTCTTTTGTGATCATAGATTAAACATGCAGAGCATTTGGACCGGCCATTTTAGAGGTACTGACTGCATAAGACATAGGTGATTTGCTAAGAATTCAGCTGGTTTTTGTACCTTGCATGTTTCTGCTACAGTGTTAAACATTTCCTTGGGAGGCAGACAATTGCCTTGAAATCAATACAACTTTATATTGAACATAACTCAGATCTTGTAGGCTTGTGAAGTAATGGTGAGTTTGTGGCAAAGGCAGCTTGTAAAGTGGGAGGAGAGGAAGAGACCTCCTCCCAAAACACGGCAGGGGATGCCTACTGCCCTTCGTATGAGAGCTGCCTGTGGTTTGTGGACTACAGAGGTGAATCACTATTACTGAAACTAAAGATCCCCTGCCCCAAGAGCACATCTTCACTACAGACTTCTGCCAGTGAAGTTGATTATTGTATCGCTTTGGGGCAGGAGCAAACCAGAGAAAAGTATTATTCCCGTTTAAAGTAACAGTGGGAAGTAGAGGGGGACAGGTTTGTGATTCTGGACTATGACACTCAGTATTTCCCAGGCAGTTCTGAGGAAGTTCTAGTCTAAAACCACAAATTTGCACACCTTTAGTGGGAGGATGTTAGTACTGCCAGCATACAGAGATGGTGATAATTTGAGATCCATCTAATGCAAGGTGTAGTAAAAACTACTGTGCCATAAAATTTAATTCTCCCAGGAACACAGGAGGTTATCTTATACTAGTCATATTCTTGACCAGTCTAACCCTTTCTTCCCAACTCTGACTCTTCACAATCTTAGGTCAGATTTTTTCCTAGCCCTGCCTACCCCAAGGTGCTGGAGGTTGAATCTGGGATTTTTTTGGTTGTAAAGCATGTACTTAACCATTACCTTTCCTATTATGTAACTCCCTCACCTAAGCAAAGTTTGAGAACTGATTGCTGTGTAATTCTTATAATCATAAAATATGATCTAACATTTTTATATATCTGTAGTAATTGGCGTGTACAAATCAGTCACCCTAAGCACATTCATGTATGATCAGAAATCTAGTCATTTGAGTTCAATGAGTTTGCTCTCTGTAATGAAAGGAGTTAGTAGAGGTGTGCAGGATTGTATTTTCTGGGCTATGATTCCCAGAATTCCCTGAGCAACTTGTGCTTGGGATTTTTGGCTTAAATATGATGTATCTTGTGACCCATATAATCACCAACAACATCACAATATCTATGTGGGACTGCATTTGAAAGTGACACAGAAGCTTCAACAGATACAAAATGCAGCAGCTAGCTCAGTATTGGGAGCCAGGAAGTATGATCACATATCTCTGATCCTCCTTAGCCTGCATTGTTTGCCTGTTTGCTTCCAGGCGAAATTCAAAGTACTAGTCCTAATTTATAAAGCTCTTTATGATTTGGGATCTTATTACCTGTTGGAGCATCTCTCCTTAAGATCGTTGACCCATGCCACCCAGTCCAGACAGGGTTCATGGTTTCAGAGGCCAGGAAAACTACCACCAGAACCTGGCTTTCTTGGGGCCTTTGGTAACATCCTCCCCCTTTTATATATTTAAGGACCCATGTGTTTTTAATCTGTCTTTTGTCTGCTGTCATTTCTGGAGTTTTTTCCTGTCTGTTTTTGTTAATTGGATGTTTGTGTTTGGTGGGGGTTGGGTTATTTCTTTCATTGCTGTTAACCATCCAGAGTAGTGCTCTGTCACTAGATGAGCAGGATAAAAATAAAATGAAATAAATGAATAAATAAATTGTTGTTACACCAACAATTAACTAAATGAATGTTACTCTACATTCTGAAGAGTGTTTAACAAGGATAATAAGACATGACTTTATACAGAGTCAGTCAAGTTTTATGAAGATAAAAGGTAATGACAAAAGTGTTGCAACACCCTTAAGACTAATCATTTTACATCAGCATGAGCTTCCATAGTTTACAGTCTGCTGCTTCTTCTGCTGAAGTTGATAGTTTTCCAGGAGATGGTATCTTCTCCCTATCCCATAGAATTTTTTTTCCATGTTAGGAACTCCCTGAACACTAGTGTTATCATCTGCACCATGATAAAAGTGCTCTGTACTTTTGTTCCTGGGTAATCATTTTCAACACAGAGATTAGAAAAAATTTGGGGTATAACTCCCAGGATCTCAAGTGACTATGCAGGCTGGAGATTATAGTTCAAAATTATTATTTTCCCCAAGCACTTTAGCCATCACATTGCAAAAGAAGGATGTATGACTGTTAGTATTTGTTGTCTCTCTAGCTGCATAAGTTTGTCTCATAAACTACTGTATGTGCTTTGGATGTGGAGTGGATGTGCTTTGGATTCACTGGCTATATTCCTGTTGATGTAAACCAAATCATAATGTTTGGTCCATTCCTCCCTAGTAAACAAATCATTCCTGCTGTGCCGTTTGAAACACGGACATGCATGCATGCATGCCCAAGAGTTACAGTAGGGATGGTTTGTTTACTGGAGAGGAACTGACTGAAAGTTAAGATTTGGCTTATACTGAACAGCAGGATTGTGGTAATTGGTTAAAAGCACTTGGATCATAATCTTCATTGTGATGGATTGTTAATTCTTCTTCGATACAAGACGCTGCATATCTTTGTTCTAGTGGTCTGTGATGTCTGAGTATAAATTTCTACTTTCTGATGAACTAGTCCACTGAATTTTATAGTCTGTGCTATTGCTTGTGACTTAA